TTTAGATTGATTTTCAAGAGCAAGAGGAAAGGAGAATGAGAGAAAGTCATCAGTTTGTCATTCTACTTATTTATGCATTCATTGGCTGATTCTTATGTGTGCCCTGACAGAGGATTAAACCTACAACCTTGATGCATTGGGATGACTCTCTAACCAACTGAGCTATCTAGCCAAGGCCTGGAATGATTTTTATATAAGCCGTCTAGTATACAATTTACCTAAGAGGTTCTCTAATCTCCATGTAGAAAAAGTTCTTTGTTTCCCACTTTGGTACAATGTAAAAGTCAGAGATATCTCAGTCTTCTCAAAACTCTCAATACTTCACAACAATGAGAGACCATATGCAGAAGGAGAAATATTAATAGAAAACGCTGTCTTTCACATGCTCACTGAATCAATTGAAGACAGTTGACACGTCTTCAGTAAGCTGTGTGTGAATCTTAGCTCATTAACCACTCCTCTGTTATGTATGCGATTCCAAGTCCTAATATGACACATCAATAAACCAGATCTGAAAAGGTGTCATTTCGATTTTAACGTTTCTAATTGTATTTTTAGATATTCCTCCACTTAGAAGTGTTTGTGTTATTTCCTGAGTTTACAAGCTACAGGAGAGTGGGTGTGGTATTGATTTGAATGATTTGAATGATTTGAAGCCACTGCATTCCTATAACCTTTTCAAAGATTTTGTTCTGATTATATTGTAAGAAAATAAATTGCCACTCTTTGATAATATTTCAGCCCTCTCTAAGCCATTGTCCAGTTTCCCTTCCATGTATGCATAACTTAGCCACACACATCTGTGTACCACAGTTCAACTGTCCAGTTCTTCAAGTGTGGCTGAAAGCTAACAAAAGAAAGAAAATATTTCTATAAAATACACTTTATGTAGGATGTTTCCTGTAAGCAGATATGGAAACCACCATATACTTTACAGGGGTTCTTTTATGTAACTAACTACTCACCAATCAGATCATCAGTCTTTCAGCTTTTCCCAAGCATTTAGCATTGTGAAATGTCAGAATGTCAGAGCAAATGCATTGTCACTACTGGCACCAACTCAATTCAAGTACAAACACCTTCAATTTGAGTGCTCACCTGAGAGTATGATTATTGCCGAAAATGAAAAGTAAACCAGACCCAGCATGAGCCTCAAAAAAGGTAGGGAGGGAAGTGTGAACATTTATAAAGCAGTTACTTTTTATTAGTCATTGCACCAGGTACATTACATACTATCTTGTTTAATCTATAACACTGACCTTTTACATATTATTCAGAGAAAATAAGAAACTTGTCCAAGACCACACAGCTAATAAAAAGCTGTTACACAATTCAAACCATGGTCTGTCCATTCTAACCCATCTTTATATCTTTCATTTGTTCACTCATTTTCTCTTCATTTATTTAACCCACTGTATGCCAGTGTAAGAGCTTCCTGGCTTTATAGGAAAATTCCTAGTTTAATGTAAGAAATTAGTAGGCATTCAAGCCATGGCAATATTTTTTTAACTTTTTAAATTACAGTTTATATTCAATATTATCTTGTATTAGTTTTAGGTGTACATCCTGGTGGTTAGACAATCATGTACTTTATAAATAGTTCCTCCTGATATTTCCAGTACCCAAATGACACCACACATAGTTATTAAAATATTGTAGAATGTATTTCCTATGATGTACTTCATATCCCCATGACTATTCCGTAACTACCAATCTGTACTTCTCAATCCCTTCACCTTTTTCACCCAGCCCCCCAACCCCCTCCCCTCTGGCAACCACCAGTCTGTTCTCCCTGTCAGTCTTTTTTCTGTTTTGTCTGTTCATTGTATTGTTCTTCAGATTCCACATATAAGTGAAATCATATGGTATTTGTCTTTCTCTGACTGACTTATTTCACTTGGCATAATACCCTCTAGGTCCATATACGCTGCTGCAAATGGTGAGATTTGGGGTTTTTTTATGACCAAGTAATATTCTGTTGTTATATATACCACAGTTGTTTTGTTTTTGGTTTGTTTGTTTTTATCTACCTATCTATTGACGGGCACTTGTGTTGCTTCAAGCCATGGAAATATTATGTGAAATGTTGCATAAACAGAATGTTCTAAGTGCAACAGAACAAAGAAGAAGGGCAACTGACTCTGTCTGGGGAAATTCATAATTATTTTACCTGGTGGTTAAACAGACATAGTCAAGTTTTCATTGCTGCCAAGGCACCATGGCAGTGACCTTGAAAATTCACATATTTTCAGTTAAGCAACCCCCAACCTTTCTTGAAACTCACTGTTGACTGGATCATATGTTCCCTAAAACTGAAGCTTGCTGGATATAACCATTTGAATCACTCTTTGCTTATCATCTGTCCAGCTTAAGGTATGGCTGCTACTTCTGTAGTCCTCAATGTCAATCAGTCATTTTTTGGAGATTCTGGCATTGACTTGGTCATTATGATGGCCAGAGGTTTCAGTAAAGTTCTCCTCTCCTCCCTTCCCTTCTCTTCTCTGCCACCTTTTTCTTTAAACAGTAAGTATACTTCATTCAGGACTATTGAGACAGGTATAAGGACTACTGCTACCACCTCCTCTATTATCATGTTTATTGTCTGAACCAAATGGTTCATCAGATTCTTAGGTAAATTGCATTACTAGCATGGGCTATATATCTTTGCATTTAGTCATTCATGTGTAGCATTAGCTTCAGATGGTTAAATTCAAGGTATCTAAGTATCCCTAAGAGCTCTATCCTGGACATACTATACAAATTTCACTCTCATCTTTACTGACTTGATTTAGTTCTTTTCATGAGTTTCTGGTATCCCATAGGCTCCCACTGGTCTTATGAAGCATCACACTGTCTTAGTATCAATAAGCTACAAGGGGACTTTCTACCCTTTTGGCAAGAAGATTAGATCTACTGTCTGCTATGATGTTACAACTGGCTTTTCTTTCTTTTTTTTTTTCTTTCTCTCTCTCCCCCCTTTGTCTCTTTCACTGGCAGTTGTCCAATCCATATTATGTTGGAACTCTTCTAAGAATAACTGCAATTTTGAAAGCTGTGACTGTGGGAGGTATTATTTATAGGCCTTTGTGGTTTTAGGAGGAAGAAGAAAAGCTTCCAAGCACAGTTCTACTAGGAAGACTGCCCCCATCCCATTTTGGCCAAATACCATCATCTACAGGATATTTTTCCTATAATTTCTTATTTTAAAAAAGTAGGGGGTTTTGGCAACAGGGTATTTGAACAAAACCTGCCAGTTTCTGAACTAACTCTTTCTTACTCTACATTATTAAGTTCATCTACCTAAAAACAGGTGTCTGCAAATTGGGCTTTAGGAAGCACATTTCATTAGGAACCCTGTTTGGCTTTAGTATAAGAAAACCACTCATAAAGGCTTCAGTAAACAGAGCTTATTTTCTTATGTATGAGAAACCCAGAGACAGATAGTATAAGACCGGTCTGTCTGCCTGCTCCACAGATTCAGAGAAGTGCCTTCTACCTATGTGTTCCTCTCTGCTTGGCCTCAGTTCTCAGTGCCATCTCATGCTGCAACCATTCTGTCTGCATTCTGAAGAGCAGAGGTAAAAAGGCTGAAAAGCTAAATCAGCCCCCTATACATTATCTCCCCAGGAGTCCCACATAACACTGTGGCTCAAGAGCCAATCTTAGTAACATGCCCACTCCAGCTGCCAAGGAAACTGGGAAGTGAACTTTTTAAACTAGGTATATTGCCATTTCCTCATCCATGGGATTTTCTTGCTAAGGAAGAAGAGAATGGAAATTGGGTGCTTGTCATCTGGAGCTCCAGGCTAGAAGTTAGAGATGAAAGTATAGAAAGGAAAAGTACCTAAGTCAATATTCATAAAGTGTTTAAGTTCAATAAATTATTACAATTCTACACCCTGGTTAAAAGTAGGGTAAGATGAATTCCCTAGTGCATAAGTAACTTAGTTTTATTATACCATCCCTGCCCATAAAAGTGAAAAAGAAACAAAATGAAGGAAAATAATCCTTGTGGCATGCACTGCTGAAGAACTTATTTTTTAGCATATGTGACTAAGTTTTATACTTTCAATTTTTTCACTTTCCTAATTTGTAGAAAAAAACAAAATGTATTATGAAGACAGGAGAGCAGAGTATCATAAAAAATTCTCTATTCTTCCACAAATCAAGCAAACAAAAGAATATCGGTAATTAAATCACAGCATGGGTTCTTGTGTGTTGGTTTCTTTTGCTGCTGTAACAAATTGACACAAACTCAGTGACTACAAACAACAAAAATTTATTCTCTTACATTCCTGAAGGTCAGAAGATGGAAATCAGTTTCACTGTCTTCCTTCTGGAAGCTCCATTTCTTTCTCCAGGTTTTAAAGACCGTCCTCACTCCTTGGCCTGTGGTCCTTCATCACATAACCTTTTCTCTTTCTGCTTCCTTTGTCACATCACTTCTGTCTCTGACTCTGGTCCCCTTGATTCCTGCTTTACCACCTTTGTAATTACACTGGGTCCACCCAGATAATCCAGCAGAATCTCTCCACCTAATAATCCCCAATTTAATCACACATTCAACATACCGTTTTCTATGGAAGGTAACATATTTCCAGGTTCCAGAGATTAGGACATGCCATCTTTGGAAGTTCGTTATTTATCCTACCACACCTTGTATAATAGTAAAACACTAAGATTTGATTCAATAACTCAATCAGCACCCTACACATCACCTCCCCAGGAGTCTCTCATAACACTTTGACTTGAGTCTCAATGGCCAGTCTTGGTCACACGGCCACACAAAGCACACTGTTGCTGCTTTCATAGTACCATGATCTAATTCAGAGTCAAAATGAAGAAACTCCATGATAATGTTGAGCACACCTATTCCCTTTGACTACTGAGTAGGGCTTTTAGCTGTTAAGTCTTAGTCTAAAACTCTCCTAAGAAATTCCCTCATGTAGCTATGAAATCTTATTTTTTTTCTAACCTTTGTTTTTATTTTATTTTTTCAGAAAAGCAAGATAACAACACAAGAATTGAAACTGTGAAGTCTCTTGTACAAAAACTCCCTCCACCAAATCGTGACACCATGAAAGTCCTCTTTGGACATCTGACTAAGTAAGTTATAAAGGTTTCTGGTTGTGTCATCAGACACTCATTTCCTGAATGAACAACATTTAATTTCAGATCTCTAAGACAAGGATTTTCAAATGTGCCTATCTCAGATTTTTCTCTTTCACTGATCTAAGTCTTCTTACAGAATATGGAGAATGTACTAATGGTAGGAAGAAGAAGCTACACAAGGAACTTCTCAATGAATTTATTTTTCCTAGTCTTCTCCACAAATAGATATTTGCTGGTTGATTGTCAGAACTGTACGTAGAGTCCTGGGATGGCCTGTCTTTAATCTGTTATATACTATAATAGGAAGAACATGAGATATTTCAGACATGAGTTCAAAACCTAGTGCTGCCATGCACCAAATGGTAGGACCACAAATAACTTACTTAAACTCTCTGAATTTTTATTTCTTCATCTGTAAAATGTTGACTCAGATTAATAAGATGCCATCCCTATAAACAGCTAAGAGAAGAGTATCCCAAGTGGGAAAAAAATGTAGAAACCTAGAGGATCCAAAGACCTTGATATATTTGAAGAGAAGGCCAGGATGGCGAAAGCCGAAACAACTAGGGTGATGGTAGTAGCAGTTGAGGTCACAAATGTTAAATGGGCATCAGATCATACAGGGTCCCGTGGGCCACAGTAAGACATTTGTATTCCATTGGAAATACAATGAAGAACAACAAAGAGTGCTAAATTGGAGAAGTATAAAAGATCACTCTGGCTGCCATGTGGAGAATGGACAGCAAAAGTAAAAGCAGGAGAACCTATTCGGAGGCTACCGCAGTATTCCAGGCAAAAGATCATGGTTGCTTGAGTGGAGGCCATAAAGATATTCTGGAGGTGGGTCAGGTTGGATGTGCCTGGTTGGAATGCAATGGGGAAGGAAAAGGAGAAATCAAGTGTGCCTCTTAGGGTCTAGGATTGAGTGAATGGAGAAATGGGTAAAACTGGAGGAGAAGCAGGATGAATAACAACTGCAGAATGGAGAGATCCAATTTGGACATGTTAAGTTTGAAATGACAGCTATTCATTTGCTCTCTGTTACCACCTTCCTCTGGTAAGGCAGAGCTCAATATGAGTAATGAGGTTTTAGCTTTCACCATACGAATATAGTAACATTGAAGCCAGATAGAGTTTCAAATGTATTGGGCAGCTCTGCTTTTATGAGATTAAATCTCCTTAATCGCCCATTCCTTGGATCGGGCCATTCCTACAGATTATTCAACTAGTTTATTATATGAATTGTAGTTATAAATGTAATACATGCAATTGCACAACAAAAATTTGAACAGTGGTGAATATTTGATCAAAATTTGAAATTTGCCTGCTAGTCACTCTCAGCCTGCTAAACAGAAGTAACTAACATTTTTGTATATATCCTTCCACACCCGTTTCTAAACATATGAAAACACGCGTGTACAGTTGTTGCTGGTGTTAAAGCATATCATACAGCACATGTCGTCCTGCAACTCCTTTACAACTCATAGTCGTCCACGTCATTGAACAAACTTATCTGATTCTTGCCATTGATGATACAGTATTTCATGCTATGGACAGTTTTTAATTTGCTTAGCCAGTCACCACATTAGGTAGCATGTTTTAATCTAATTCACCATATTATTTTTTTCTCATTTTACTCCCAGAGGGGAACTTGTGTCAAAGTTCAGAAGACCTCTTGTTATAATGTCCCTTCATGTCACTTCCACGTTCTGGCTACAGTAAGAAACCTATTGTGAGTTAATGAAAGGATCTTGGGGCTTAAAGAAATGGATGGATCTAGAGTAACATCCTTATTCTATACTTTACCCCCTTTATGATCTCCAGCACATAAAATTGGATTTAATAATATCAAGCATATCTTGTGGTTATGAGAATTAAATGCGATAATGCATATAAAATGCCTGGCATAAGGTAAGCATTCCTCAAACATTCATTCTTTTCCCGTAGGATCCAGTCACACTATGAAAGGCATCTCAAATTACAAGTAAATACTGGAATGCTTATCTCAGTAACTTTAACTGGACAAAGTCATAAAACAAATGGAAAACTATACTCTCTAATGCTATACAATACTCAGTCTTGTAGATCTTGGAAATATCAATTACTTAGTCTCAATTATTCCATTTTTTCTGAGTGCAAAAAAAAAAGCAGCTATAAAATGAAGAAATTGAGCATCAGCCCTGGGTGGCGTAGCTCAGTGGATTGAGTGCGGGCTGGGAACCAAAGTGTCCCAGGTTCGATTCCCAGCCAGGGTACATTCCTGGGTTGCAGGCCATAACCCCCAGCAACCACACATTGATGTTTCTCTCTCTCTCTCTCTCTCTCTCTCTCTCTCCCCCCATCCCTTCCCTCCCTAAAAAAATAAATAAAATCTTTAAAAAAAAAAGAAATTGAGCATCAACTAAATCCTTCTTTAAAAAAATAAAACATACTGATGAGGACCCATCTTTTCATGCCATACAATTCCAGTATGAACAATTAATGTCTTATTGTGTTTTTATATCTAAGTTAATTTCCTGATTTTGTTAGAACTTTCATTCAACTCAGAAAAGATGGAAATAGTTTATAACTGCGATTTAAGATCAGATTATTATCTCACCTTAACAGCATTCACATTATAAGATTTTTCATCATAGATAAAGAGAATAACTATTATTTGTTAGCCACCAACCTTTCTTGAGTGGCATGACCATATTCCACTGTGCACTGATTTATAAACTGGGTTGAATTATGCACAAGTGTGTGCACATGATTATATCTTGTTAAACATTTCTTGCTAAGTTTTTGATAAACAGCCAATCGTGCCATGTCATCAAAGCCTGAGAAGACTAAATAAGAAGATTGTTTAATGAAAATTTAAATATATTCATGTTTGAAAGAATCATTAGAATGTTTTCCTTAGTCTTGATGCATTTGGTAGTTCTTCAGAAAAATCTATGATCAACACTTGTATGTAGTGTTTATTCCAAATCGTTGTGTGTGTGTGTGTGTGTGTGTGTGTGTGTGTGTGTATTGAAGTTTGTTTAGTGAGGGTCAGGAAATGTAATGAAGTGCCAGAAATTCCACTTGACCTACGTACTCTACAGCCAACACAATAGAACTCCATTTTTGCGAGCTCTGAGTTGCATGTTCCCTTGAAAGCAGAGACTACCAGCTGAGAAACTTCAATACAGCACAGTTGGACTAGAAGCTGAATGCAAGCTCTGGCCACAAAGCCAGAAATTTAAAGGGTTATGATTCGACTAAACATAAGATTACACAATGGCTGTAAAAGTTAAATAGTCTCAGAGCCCAGAGCCCTCATTCTTGATCAAACTCAAGGTCAAGTTCTATGCTTTTGCTGTAATAGCATGAGACCAGGAATTCAGAATAAGCTATCGTTTCAATATGCCATCAACTAGAAACCCTTATTAACAGCCACTTTCACAAATTGACATTACAGTGAGATGCACAGAAGGTCCTGGGGTACCTTCTGAATCATCACATAAATGGCAAGTTCTATCTCTGTGAAATATGTGTCAAGTGCACTTTCCCCTGGCCTGCTTCTTTGAAAAGGCAGAGAGGTAAAAGGAAGATGAAGTTAATGGGAGGAGGACCTGGAAAGATAAGGTTTACTTCCTGGTGTTTAGCAGTTGGCAGTTGAGAGCCAGGCAAAGGATTTATCTAAGGAATAGAGAATTGCCGGAACTTTATCTATCAGACAATTGCATATGTGCTTACTGCTTATGAACGAGTCTCCAGACAGCAGAGTGCAGGGCAAACAAGGCAGACTGAGAAAGGAACGCAGGAGGCCACATGGGAGTTGTAGGTGGGTTGGAGTGGTGAACGTCAAATGGAGAGAAATGGTCCAGATCATGAGACTTTTCAAAGAAAACTTCCACACAGTTTTTATTTCACTCATTTCTCTATTGCCTATATCTAGTCAGACCTAGAGATAAGTCTGAGGTTTCCAAGCTGAGTAACTGTGAAAATAGTCCCTGTGACATTAACTTTAAAAAAGCAAAAGTAGGTACTGTTTAGAAGGGTGCACCCTTTTCTCTATTTTGCAAATACATCAAGGGGAAAGATGAAGATGAAGTTACAGAAAACTAATGAAATAGGATGAGTCCCATTTTGTCAGATGTGTACTGAGACAAGCCCTCTGCAGGCTGCTCATTGGGATGTACCAACCTACGTGGTCAGAAAGTTATACACATAATATGTCTCAAGAATGAAAACTTTGAAAATCTTTGTACTTTTTGAGTGGTCATCTTCATTTCTGGGACTCTAAGTAACAGGAGATGGTTTATGCAGATAAAATCATTTACAACAAGACGTTTGCACTGGTGGAAACTGGGAGACAACCAAAGTGTTCAGTGATAGGAGAAGGTTTAGAAAGAACATGGTTCATTGTATCAGAGCATACCTCATTTTTTTAGTAAAAGGTCATTCACAGCTAATTGTTTTTTTTTTTAATTTGGGAAAATCCTTGTGTTAAGTTAAATAAAGTCAGGGATACAGTATTTTATACACTCAAAGAGAGTGTACCTATAATTATACAGAAAAGTTGTGCATCTGGAAAACAATGTAAAAATATTTGCTGAGATGTTAATATCTCTTTCTTTGAGTTGTTGAATTATGAGATTTTTCCCCCTCATGTGTTTCCTTTTCTGTTCTACCAAAGGTGTAGAAGGTGATACTGAGCTTAAGAGAAGAGGTAAAGAGAGCCGGCTTGGGAGTCAGGCAGACCTGAACATGAGTCTTGGCTCTGCCACTTACTGAGGTGTAACTTTGAACCAACCACTTGACTCTGAGCTTTCATTTTTCTTGTCTGTAAAATACAGGTCATAGCAGAACCTATTTCTGTGATGAGGAGTAAATGAATAATCTTTTTACTAGCCCATAATAGGTTCTAGATAAGCAGTATACAGTGGCATATGCTATGTTTACAGTGAGAAAGATATAAAATAACTTCTAATGAAATAAATATAGGAAAAATTGCAAAGGTTGGGTTG